ATTCGGTTTTTTCGAGTCGAGTTCTACTCCTCCAGTATCCTAATATTTTGTTTGAGATTAATAATATTTTATTTTACTCCGGGATTTTTTTTCATATTGATTCATTTGTTGTTTATTTTTAATTAAATAGCTAATTATTGGAGATATAAATTTATTAAATATTTTTATTTCATATTAATTAAATAATTAAGTAGTGTTAAAAATATTTAAACGATACTTTAATATTAATTTATTTTGACTAATATTGTTTTTATGATGGCACTAGTACCATTTTAAATATATTATCTAAATATCTAGTTCATAATGTAAATTTGATTAAGAAAATATAAAATTAGTTTAAATATATGATAAGCAATTGAAACACTAGGATAACAATCTCTAGCTTTAACAAACTCAAGGACTTCAAACGCTAACATGAATATATTTGACAAAGTCAATTGCAACACTTTCATTTAAAAAAAAAATCATCTGCATCAACATCCAACAAATTATTATGAGAAAAAATAATCTAAAAATTATTGCAACATTCTTTTAATTTATTGTCATCCAATGACTTCAACCTTGTAGAATCAATTAAAAATCCAAAATAAATTTCAAAAATCTTTAACTGCACAAATCTATCTTTCAAAGAAGCGATCGCCATATTAACAACAACAACAAAATAATTAACTTTAAAAGACTCCTCTGTTGATTGTATTTCTTCATCATGATCATTCTCATCAAATTTTCTTTTTCTAAAAATACGACGCTTAGTCGAAAAAATTGGCTCTATGTTCATATCTAATGCAAGACTTTTAGCAATATCTATACTAGCTTCGAACCCCTTATTTCTATAATTTTCAAAATATGACATTACACCTTCTAACTCCTTTATGGTAGTATCAATGCACGTTGATTTAGATTGTAATTTCTTACTCACCGTGTTGATAGCAAATAAAATATCATACCAGATAACCATTCCAAGTAAGATTTAAAAACTTTGAAGGGCACTAGCTAAACTTTTTGCTTTTGCATCATTACCACAATATTCATATAATTGTAACAAAGCTAACCTTATTTTAGGAGTATGACATTTAATAGCTTTGACACTTTTAGTTCGACTTTTCCATCGAGTATCATATAAAGATTTCACAGTTTCTGGAATATTATCACATAAAATTTTCCACCTTTAGGTATAACTTGTGAACAATGAATATATACGTTGCACAATCCCAAAAAATGAAATATCTTTAACACAAGAATGTGCCATATTAGAAAGAGAAAGATTAAGATTATGACAAGCACATGGCATATATAAAGCTCTAGGATTTATTTCAAGCAATCTCTTTTGAACACCTTGGTGTTTTCCTTTCATATTAAAACCACTGCCATATCATTGGCCCTCACATCATCAACGTTAATTTTAGAGATTGCAATGCATTTACTAATTCATTAAAAAGCCTCAATCTAGATGTATCATCCACTTTCAAGAACTCTAAAAAGTACTCTTCTATTTTTACTTTGTTGTTTGACATATTTACGCATCGCACTATTTGAGTCATTTGTTCTTGATGGCTTACATCAGGGGTACAGTCAAGAATAACAGAGAAACACTTTGCCTTCTGGATGATCTTTAGAATATAAGTTCTAATACTATGGGTCGAGAGAGAGATTAGTTCATTTTGAATATTATGACCAAGATAATGATAATGAATATTTTCATTTTGAGTACGTTTAATATGGTCTTGCATAGACAAATCAAATTCAACAATCATTTCAATTAATCCTATAAAGTTTCCATTATTCTCATCGTAAATTTTCTCACTAGATCCTCGAAAAGCTAAATTATTTTTAACAAGACATTTTGCAACACAAACTATTCTTATTAAAACTTGCCTCCAACGTTCTTTCTCTTTTGAAATTCCTTGTTGTAAATCTTTATCAAGTGTTTGGTTAGTTTTTAATCTCACTCTTAATTCACTCCAAACATTCATGTTAGTCATATGCCAAATACTATTTTCATGTTGTTCAAGTCTCTCACTAAGATGCTTCCAATCATTTAATCCATCATTTTCTAAATAACTATTATTGTTTTGCTTTGTAAACAATTTACAGCAAAAACAATAAACTTTGTCCACATGTTTAGAATAACCAACCATTTTCTATCGCTAATCTCTCCATTACTCAACTTTCTAAAAAAAATAAGCATATGAAAAATGTCTAGAATTATTGGCTAAGGGAAATTTCAAATTCAATTCTCTTATAGGTCCCTTTTCAACTAAAATATCTCTAGATTTATTATCAAGATTACCCCAATTTCTAGGATCATAAATGTCCACAGCAGGGACTAAGTGTTGATCAATCCCAACATCTTCAGCATTAACCTCATTTTGTGCATGATTATGGACATTTAAATTAGAAATGTCACCATCTATATGATTTAGGATATCATGGTAATTTGCATCAGTAACACCTAGATTGGTACAATTTGAAGAACTATCAAGATTATTTAAATTCCCAACAATATCATTTAAATTTTTATTAGAAGGCTCTCCTACTCCACTTTTAAAGAATTTATCAAGAGTTCCTTTTTGTGATTCTATTAAATCATCTCTTTGTTTTCTTTTTTTTTTTCTTCTTTTTTCACTACCAAACAAATATTTTTTAGGCAACATTATATAACAATGCAACTAATGTAGAAAAGAACAATAACACTTATAAATGGGAATATCCTCGATCGAAGTATTATACGCCAAATTCGCAACACCTTAATAATTGAACTTAGAAGGAATATGGAGTATTTGCATATCTACGTTTGACATTTCATATCCAAAATTTATGAAACAAAAAAAGAGAATAAGTTTATCTAGAATTTAGAAATATATAAAAGAAAAAGAAAACGAATTTGGAAACATGAACTTACTTAGGATTTTAAAAATATCTTCATGACCACAATTGATGATAAGTAATTGTGATTTTGTGAATTGTGAGAAATATGAGAAATTGAAAATTGAGAACAATATAAGTTAATTTTACTTCAATGTTGGGAATAAAAAGTAACCATTGATAAGCATTATGAATTTGACTGTTAGTAAGATTTTTTTTTGAATTTTGATAACAAATTTTAATGTTATTTGTGGCCCTCTTGCATTAATGTTAGAAAATAGTGCATTAATATTTGTGGGTCTTGGGTTGCAATACTTTTAATTTAGTTTATTAAAGTATTATAAATTAATATAACTTAGAATTATGGGGCCCTGGGTGGGTGCCCCTCTTGCCACGGCTCAGGGTCGACCCTGGATGGAACAAAGATGAACGGTTTGACCAGCCGACCTAATATACTTGCTCTGCCTTGATTTTTTTTAATATATGCAAAATGTAGTAGTACTGTATAGAACTTAATGTAACCATAAATTAACAATTTTAACAAAAAAATTAATCAAAATAGTGTGAAAAATTCCATAGTTTAAACTAAATTAATAATCTACAAATACACCAAACTAATATTACAATCAATGTAACAATCCACAAATACATCAAATCAATATATTACAACCCTAAAAATAAGGAAAGCAATATTTTAAAAATCATATAAAAGAAATTAATGAGTTGTTTGCGAACTTATCGAGTCGAGTCTTGCTCAACTTTATTTGAAATCTAACTCGACTCGTTAAAGTCTCGGATCAAACTTAAATTTATGTCAAATCAATTTAAATAAACCATTGACCGAACTTTTATAAAATCAAATTCGAATTACTTACCCACTCTTATCAAGTTAAGAGAAAGAAATGAAATGAATTTAGCTTTTCGATCTCTTTGATTTCAGGGTAGGCTTCGCAACTTAACAAGATGTGTTTTCTTCCAATATAAAATTGTAATAATGTTAAACATATTAAAATATACAAATTACAAATATAAAACCATTTACTGTAATATTTAGAATTGTAAGAAAAATAAGTGTCAATCTATAAATTTTTACATTTCAATGACAAATTAATTATGTTCAACTTTCCTTTCCTTTCCTTTTATCATTTCATTCATTTATCCACTTAATTCAATTTAATAGTTAATCATTTTAATGAAAATAACATATTGTTAACTAAATTAATAAATCAATAGAATTACTGAAAATTCATATCTAAATTAATTTAATTCATTTTCGAGCTTTCAACTATCAGTTCTGAAAAATCTTAGATATCAGAATTAAAAGTACTATTATTCTTTCCTTTGTTCTCGAATTATTTTAAACTGATCAGACTTACATGTTAAACTTGGCTTAGAAGGAAGAACAGTGAGAGAATACAGGTTCTCTTGGAAATCTCATATTTGCTTCAGGATTCACAGTGATTAAGTTGGTTATAACCTTCTTTTAATTGAATTATTAGTCCCAACTATCATTTTCGTTCCATTTTATTCACCCAACTATTTTTTCTCAAAATCATACCTAGCGTTACATATTGATTATATTTTGGTCACCCATCGTTAAAAATTTAACAGAACTGCTAACTGAGATATGATCAAATCATATTTCAATGATGTTTCCGGGCACCATCGTAACTTTCAAACACTAACTCAACGATATAATGTTTCAAGCACTGGCCCAACGACATAATATAAACGAAGAGTCGATCCATAAAATACAGCTCAAACGGTTCTATAGTTATGGAACATATGAATATTTAACATTTAGTTCAAACTATCGCCAATTTTTTAAAAAAAAGATGAGTGTGGAACATATGAATAGTAGGTGATCATTTTGTAATTTTTAATAATGAGAAGACTCAACAAAACAAGTCTTATAGTTTGAAGATTATTTTATAACTTTTAATAGTTGAAATACTCATCCAAATAACATTCTATAGTTGAGGGTAATTTGTGCACTTTAATCTTTTTTAATTATTTTATAAAATATTTTAATTTTACGTTATTATTTTTTGATTAATAAGTACAAAATTAGTAGTATAAGTATGAACATGTTTATAAATAAAAAAATTTGTTAAGTCATAGAACACATGCCCTAGTTAAATTTGGTGAGCACCCCAGATCTGGGTGTTAGCGGCTTAATTCTCCGGCTCCGGCTTGAGAGAAACAAATCCTAAAGCCATAATATCAAAGTTGTACGATGCTGGTTTTCACCTCCAACCTGCTCAAACCTTGCAGACCTTTGAGTTTGTTTCACGACTTCACTTCCAAAATGCTCATGTCTCAGTCCACCTCTATCCCCAAAAAGCAGGAAAGGGTACGCGACCACGGTTTCGATAACTACATGGAAATCGAGAAGAAGACCCGCAAAGTCCTCAAATTCCAATCCCTAATCCTTTCTCAGCCAAGCCAAACGCTGCCCACCTCTCGTTTCGACTCTCTCGCTCGTCGCCTTGGCCTCGGTTTCAAAGAAAACGAAGCCGCCGCTTATCTCCTCAAATTCCCTCACGTTTTTGAAATCTACGAGCACCCTGTTCTTAGAATCCTCTTTTGCAGGCTAACCCGTAAGGCGCTTCTCCAAATCGACAAGGAAAAAGAAGCCCTCATTGCCCAGTTACCTGATGCTGTCACCCGGTTAAGGAAGTTGCTTATGATGTCCAATACGGGTCGTTTAAGGCTGGAACACGTTCGGATTGCCAGGAAAGAGTTTGGGTTGCCTGATGATTTTGAGTTCTCGGTAATTCTCAAATACCCTGAATTTTTTAGATTGTTTGATGCTCGAGAGACTAGGAATAAATACATTGAGATTGTTGAAAGAGATCCTAAGTTAGCTGTCTGTGCTATAGAGAGAGTTAGAGAGAGAGAGTACAGACAAAAAGGACTTGATGCTGAGGATATTAGGTTCTCATTTATTGTGAATTTTCCACCTGGGTTTAAGATTGGTAAGTATTATAGGATTGCAGTTTGGAAGTGGCAACGAGTTCCGTATTGGTCGCCTTATGAGGATGTTTCTGGTTATGATTTGAGGTCATTGGAAGCTCAGAAGAGAATGGAAAAGAGGGCAGTATCAACTATTCACGAGCTGCTCTCATTGACCGTGGAGAAGAAGATTTCTTTGGAGAGGATTGCGCATTTTAGGATGGCAATGAATTTGCCTAAGAAGTTGAAGGATTTTCTGCTTCAGCATCAGGGGATATTTTATGTTTCGACAAGGGGGAATTATGGGAAGCTTCATACAGTGTTTCTTAGGGAGGCTTATAGGAAAGGGGAGTTGATTGAACCAAATGATTTGTATTTGGCGAGAAGGAAGTTGGGTGAGTTAGTTTTGCTTAGCTCTAGGAAGGCAAAGGTGGAGAAGGATCTGGTTAGCTATAGGAGGGATAGGGAAGTTGATGACATTTTGTGTGTTAGACCAGACTATATGGAAAACGACTTCGAAGATTTCAGGGCTGAGGATGAAATTGAGCACAATGAGAAAGGAAAAGATGGTTTAGATTCAGATTTAGTTTCTGATAACATAGATGAGAATGAAGTTATGGATGAAAAGGAGGATATTGTGTAAGAGAATAACAAGACTGATTTTTTTCAGTTAGTCATTTTACAATATTGATGATTGAATTCTAGACTTGAGTTTGAATTGCTGATTATGAAAATTTATCCTTTAAACCAGACCCAATTTGAACGCCATGAAAATGTAATTCTTAGACAAGAAAATGATAAACTCTGTGCTGAGAACGACTTGTTGAAGCAGGTTGTGACTGCCCCAGTATGCAATGTAACAATTGTGGTGGTCCTGCAGTGCCTAGTGAAATTATCTTTTGAACAACACCTAGGATTGAGAATGCTCGGTTAAAAGATGACTGAGCTGGATATGTGCTTTAACAAACAAGTTCTTAGGCGGGCCTCTCTCGTCCTCGGGGAGTCATATTCCTTCTCACGGATTGAACACCAATTTTGGAGCTTGCAGTTGGAAGGAATGATTTTGGTGGCATGAACAATGCAGGCACTACATTGCTAATGGGATTTGACTTGGGCGATGGCTCTATGATGCCCTTTGTGAAACATGTGGTCATGAAATGCAATATGACAGGTCAGCTTTTGTTGATATTGCTTTGTCAGCTATAGATGAATTAACTAAGACGGCTCTATGATGTTGCCTAGATGGTGGGATGGAATCCTTGAACATTGAGTAGTACAGGACTTTCTCCTCTAGCATTGGTATGAAACCGAGCGGCTATGCAACTAAGGAGGCTACATGGGCCACTGGACCGGTTTACCTCCATGGCTTGGCTCTTGTAGAAGCATCGATGGATGCGGCCATTCACTTGTTCAGTGCCTTCATTGGCCTATTGAACTTCCCATCAGCTATTGGGATTTGATTGTTTGTTTTGTTCTTTTGAGGCCTTTGGTATTAGACTTTGATGAAATTGTACAAACCATGGTTGATAGTGAAAGAAACAAATTAAACAATCATTGAAGTAATGATACTAAAGTATATGTCACCAACAGTAGAAGTCGACGAAACAAAATTTACATATAAAGGAATAAACTTGAGACTCGACTATGATGCTATCATCATCTAAATCAAACTTATTGACAATCTACAAATCATACAAAATGAGCTTACACAAACTCAGTGAAATAATCAGATTCAGAAACATAATGAACATGTAATGTAACATATATGACAATAGGTAACAATCATACATCAACACATAAATACTTGGCGTATGATTATCATTTCCTTTTCATTAGTATATCTATTTTAACTGATTCCAATGTCAATTTAAATATATTTAACCCGACTCCCTTTGTAATTACACAGATACATGGATCAACACCTTTACATCTGTTGATTTTACATTGTAGTGATACCCATACCTCATATATCTCCTACAATAGTGCTAATGACCCTATGACATAGCAACTATGGCTGATACATTATCCAGATAATCACGATTCAGATACTTTTAAATATTTACACAACACAATAATGAATTGCACAACAATTTTGAATGATATTGGATAAGTTGTAGCTTCAATTAATTCTTTCGAAATAGTTATACATACCTTGAATAGTCAATTGACCATCCAAACATAATCAGAAAATTTGAAAAAGAAATAAAAACTCAAAATAAATATAAAATGAAAAATAAATTTAAAAGTTCTTTAAAAAATTATAATTTAATAAAAAGCACTAAAGATATTTTTAATATATTTTATTTTTAATGTTTTAATGAATTTTTAATTTCACAAAAATAACTTGAGCATAATTACAATTTTAAAAACATAAATTCTGCTCTTTTGTGATTTTCTAATTTTTATTTTAATTATTTTAAATTTTATTTTAATAAAATGTCATGTGAAAAAATCTAATTGGGTCATATGGCATTGTTAACGAAAAATATTCAAAAGTTCACATAATAAAAACGAAAGAGTTAAATTAATTGAAAATAATAAAAGAATCAAAATGAATTGTTTTTATATTAAAAGGACTAGAGTAAGTATTAAGCTAAACTTTATTTGCCGACCACCATAGCTACAGTGACGAAATAGAAAAGAAAAACAAGGAAAGAAGTGCGGTGGGTCGCTCTTTTTTCTACTTGGAAAAAGAGAGAAAAACACGCAAATCCCCATTTCAATTTGCAACCATTTTTTCAAATTTGAATTTTGTTTTCTTCCACCATAGTTGACCTATAATTCCAATTCCCTTCAGAAATAACAGATACCCAATGGGGAATTCGTTTGGGTGCTCAGCTTCAGGGGAGAGATTAGTTTCAGCGGCCAGAGATGGGGATTTGGTTGAAGCCAAGATGCTCTTGGATTGCAATCCTTGTCTTGCTAAATATTCCACTTTTGGCGGCCTTAATTCCCCTCTTCATTTTGCTGCCTCCAAAGCCCACAATGAGGTTTCTTCCCTTCAATTTTTTAAACCCAGATTTTCTATTCAGCTTATAGAAAGCTTTTTTTTCATCCTTTTTGAATTATATTTTGTTTCCGTGTTTTATTTCTTTGCTGGGTTTTTTTTAGATTGTTGCTTTACTGCTTGACAATGGAGCTGATGTTAATTCCAGGAACTACTGTGGCCAGGTAACTTGTTTTATTTTATGTTCTTTTTTTATTCGAGAATGAACTCTTTGGGATGATAGTTTTATTTTTGCAGATATTTTTGTTTTGGGATAAGTTCTGATTTTAGAGTTCCTGTGTAAATTTGAATTTTTTTTTAATGATTGGGTGATTAGAAGGAAGTATTTGTTCAAATTTTTTTAGCCTATTGACAAAGCGCACACTGCATAAACAACTGTTCAAACCCTAGTCCTCTAGAAAGAATAACATTTTTTTACTACTAAGACCATTCAAGCTTTCAAAAAAATTAGTATTTGATTGCATGAATTTGGGACTTGGATTCGAAATTAGAGGTATACATGTTCTGAAAGAAAATTCTTCTGGTCGGCTGACCTCCTTAACTTCCTAAAGACTCTACCCTATTGGTCCTGAGAATTCGTTTAGCATGATTTTGGAATCCAATCTGAACTGTGGAAACCCAAAGTTGGCTTTGACGAATATGGACTTTATAAATTTCGCTCTGATAAGCAGCAAATGGAACCGTTCTGCAGTATAACTAACTTATAATCTCATTTTTATGTTTGAATTCGAAAGACGGCATTGATGCAAGCTTGTAGATACGGGCACTGGGAGGTTGTGCAGACCCTTTTGCTCTTCAGATGCAATGTGAGTTTCATTTTTTATTTTTTTTGAACTTCTGTAATATTTCTTAATGGTTTCTTCACTATGATCAGATATTTCTTTAGTAACTTAAAGGAAGCTTTTTCAAATGTTTGTTGATTAGTTGATTGCTGTTATTTATTTACTTCCCTATAGGTTACGAGAGCAGATTATCTAAGTGGAAGGACTGCTCTACATTTTGCTGCTGTAAATGGACATGTACGATGCATAGCACTACTTGTAGCTGATTTTCTTCCTAATGCTCCTTTTGAAGCAATAAACAGTCAAATCAAAGGCGAAAGAGGGGATAGTTCTATTGTGAGAAAAAGAAATGATCAAAGGTGTGTCTTGTTAACTCCTGAACAACCATTTGCTCCATCTGTCTCTGATTTGGATTTAAATGGAGAAGTAGGTCCTGTATTTATTTTTTGTCAGACTGTGGAAAAGATTAAACAGAAAGGTTAAATTCATTTACATCAAAAGCTGCTAAAATAATTAATGCTCATAATAGACATATATCTCCTAATGATCTGTATTGCTATTGTATTACTCAAGCCTTCAATGGAAAAAGTTCTGGGAATTTTGTCGTGCTAATTAGGTTAATTATTACTATGCAGTACACTGTCAAAATTTGTAAATAAGGCAGCTGATGGTGGGAATACTGCTCTTCATATGGCTGCATTAAATGGGCATTTTGATTGTGTAGAGCTTTTACTAGACCTTCATGCCAATGTCTCTGCTGTGACATTTCATTATGGAACATCAATGGATTTGATAGGTATGCTTTTCTTTTTCCATGGGCAATTGCTTTTTACTACTTTTAGGTGATATGGATACCAGTTTTTTATGGGCAGGAGCTGGAAGCACTCCTTTGCATTATGCTGCTTGTGGGGGAAACCTGAAATGCTGCCAGGCAAGGCTTATAGACAATGTTGTTTCACCCATATGTAATTTCTCTTCAATTGGAAATTATCATTGTTATTTTTTGTTTGCAGATTCTTCTAGCAAGAGGAGCCAGTCGTTTGACTTTGAATTGCAATGGGTAGACTGCTTATTATTTTCACTGTTTACCTTTGTCTGGTCTTCAAGTTTGGTTATCTCAGTTATGCACCTACTATAGCTAAACAGAGTTATCTGTATTTCTCAGGTGGCTACCACTTGATGTCGCCAGGATGTGGGGTCGCCATTGGCTTGAGCCCTTGCTGGCACCTAATTCTGACACCACAATACCTAGATTTCCTCCTTCCAACTACTTGTCATTGCCTCTTTCGAGTGTACTTAACATAGCAAGGTAACCCTGTGACTACTAGGGTCTACAATCTGGATAGATAGTTTTCAATCTCCGCTGAACTGTTCTTATTGCACAATGTTGCTTTAAATGAAAAATGACATCATTGATATTTGAAGTTGGTGAAAATTAAATAGAGAGCTTCGTTGGTGGTAGATATAACAGTGATTCAACATGCTTTATAATTGTTTTTGCGTGCCTTTAAATGATGGTGGGATTTATTGCGAGAAAAAAACAAATTTTAACAAGATTCTTATTAAACCAATATTCACTTTGTGTGATTGCCCCAAATCTGTAAGTTCAAAAGAGAGCTAATGTACCAAGCGGAGTATGGACTACGGAAGACTAGAAATTTGTTTACAATTATTTGGCTAAAAGATTATATCAGTTGTTAAAACCTAACATAGTATTGCCAGTGTCCATACTGCAAGCAGTTGTGTCTAATTATCCTTAAATGCCAAAAGTTTAGTTGGTTTTCTGTTACATAAAATATTTGGAATGAGCTAAAAGACTTTATGGTGAGTAGCTTTCATTTTGACTACATTATGCAGAGAATGTGGGTTGCAGTCCCCAACAATCTCCTCGGATGATGCTGAAACTTGTGCCGTCTGCCTTGAAAGACCCTGCAGTGTAGCTGCTGAAGGTATGCCGTCAACTTGCTGTTTCCATAATTTTGGTTTGGATCTTCTCTCTTTTTCCTCGAAAAATATGCCGGCAGAAAGTAGCAAACTGCTTTGATCACTATGTTTAATATTTACTGTTTTCCTTATTGATCTTAGCATCATATTTTGTGACCTTATGAACATGATAACTCTAGTCTTTCAGTTGGGTTGTTGGAATGAGAAGTTACTTTTAATGGCATAGCAATGAAAAACTTAATGTTTGAGTGAGTTAGGGGGCCAAGCTGGTGAATAAATCCGATTAAGTTACTGCTAGTGTTTTACAAATATAACTCGTCATTTCGTTATTCTTTTCAGGATGTGGGCATGAGCTATGTGTAAGGTGTGCACTCTATCTTTGCTCAACAAGTCGTGTTCCCTCCAATATCGTTGCCCCACCGGGGTCTATTCCATGCCCGCTCTGTAGACACGGCATTCTTTCATTTGTCAAATTGCCCAGTTCCCCAGCAAAAGAAATTAAGCTACATGTATCCTTTGGCCTTTGTACCCCATGCATGCTTCATCCTTGCGATACAGATTGCTCATCACCGGCTTCAGATGTCCGAAAGAATCGTGTTGCATCAGTTTCTTCGGATATTCTCTGTCCAGTTACCTGTAGTCCATTTCCTTCTGTTGCCATGCCATTGTGCACATGCAATGATTGTCCCTGCCCCTCTTCGGAATCCGGAGAGACGGAAACACGAGATGAATCTCCAAGGAGTTTGCAAGCTACATCGAGTGAGCAGGATAAAATTGAAGGAGCAAGAGTGAGAGAAGTAGCTGTTCAAACATGTTCTGGGGCAGAAGGAGCTGCAGTAGAGAGCATCGATGCAATTCGGAAATAAATGCTTGATTCGATCGTAAAAAGCTTCGGTCTCGAGTTCCATTGTGAGACGAAGGTCAGCAAAGAGAGCGGGGTTATGCCTGCCCCTTGCTGAAATCCTCAATTGGGTAGTATACTGTAATTCTTACAAGAAAGATTTAGTTGGCTTCCATTGAAATTCAGATGGTATCACTTCAGTTTTTATTATTACAGAAGTGGCTCTGATTTACATTTATCGGTAGTCTTTCAATAATTTAATTCCTCATTGTAGTTCGTTTGCTGTAAGAATTAAATCTGTTCGTATCTTTTGTTCAAGTTTTTTGAACGAGTGTTTCACCTTTTTCTTATATGGTCTTTATATGTATTGTAGTGACTAATTTCTCGTGTTAATGATTATGGGAGAATATCCTAATTATGCATTTAATTTACGATTTTAGTTGTAAATATTCATTGTAATTTTAGATATACTATATTTCTTAATAAAATTAGGTGTTTCTATTTTTATAAAAAAATTCGAAAATGAAAGAATTTGAACATATAACTGATAAAAACTTGTAATAGACTAAAAAAATAAAAAATTCTTCCCACTGATAGTTCACTTCGGGATGTGAAATTGTTTATGTAAATTCTACTTATTAAACAGTTGAAATGAAACCGTTGGAATCCTCCTAGTTTAAAACTGAAGTTGGAATTAATTCGAAGAATAGACATGCATGAGAATGATTAAAATATTCTCACAATGTCTGAAATTGGTGTATTTTAAAAAATTTATTCTTTCGATTTTATCAAATTACGAATCAAAATTCAATTTTGAAATATAATCATTTTAATTAAAATATGAATACAAGATTTTTAAAATAAATAAAACAAAAAAAAAGATGTTAGTAGTAGTAGTAATAATAATAATTAACGATAATAAAATAATGTTAAACTAAATAAACGTGCTAATAATAATAATCCTAAATAAATAAATAATATGTTAGAACTAAATTGAAAGAAATAAAACTTACAGAGAATAAGATAGAAATTAATCTAAGAACATAACATTATAATAATTTTTTAGATAAAATATTATTTTGAGTATTTTAGACATTAAAATAGTTACACCAAAATAACATTGTTTGCATGAGGCAACCTGTCAACAATACTTAGTCATGTTACAACACAACTACCATGTTATCATCTCGTTAAGTTACTAATTTTGCGTTTCATGACCTCCCACTGGTTCTTGGCTCATTGATTTTTTTTTCCTGAATAATATATGATAACTATAAAATATTATCTGCTTATAATATTTCTTAGTTATTGACAATGCATAATCTTATAAATACTACTAATAAAATTCAAAACCTCACAAAAGAATAACATCCTTTTAACCACCGAAGAAAAATAAAGTTTAACGGATGATATAGGGGCTGTTGGGATGTGCTCGGAGGGGACAAGTTGCGGATTGGTTCTGGTTCTTGGGTTTGGATCTAGGCTCGAATTTGGGCATGCATTCGGGGATGTTTTTTTGTAAGCTGGGTGAGGGTTTGGACCTGAGTCCTCTAATCTAGAGCCCAAGCGAGAATGAGTGTATATACTTATTTGTTAACATCAGTAGTTAGATGCAAAACTCCATACAAACATACCAAATTATAAAATTTTGCACATGTGATCTCAAATATGAAACCAAAAAAAAAAAAACACGTAACCCCCGTTTTTTGGTGCATCGAAATAACATGAAACTACCATAAAAGAACGACAATGGAGTGAGCTTTGGGTGTCTCGGACTGGTTGGATGACTTCTACAATTACAATCCATTAGCTGAGATGCCCAGTACTCGCAGAAGATTTTTACGGCAAAGTTGCAGGACCTTCCCCAATTCCTATGTCTTTGAAACCAGAGCTTAGTGATGAAGATGACTCACCCTCCACTTCATCCTCGAGGAAAGAGCCTTTTCGTCGCAATTCCTTGATTTTCAGATACTCATCATAATGCGCTTTTCTTTGCTCCTTGAAACTCCTACCATTTCGATCTGTTTCAGAAGAGAAGAAAGTAGAACAGACAAACCATCAAACAGAGATTCAACACGACATAAATTGTAAACAATTGATGAACTAAAAGAGGTAAGTAGATTGGGATGAGGAAGGCCAATGAGCGGTGTTAACCTTCATCACTTTTATTTGGCCATCTTCATCAATGTTCTGGGGGGTAAATTTATTAATTAAAAATGTTATTTTTTTCCCTGTTTTATTTTTCAATCAGAGAAAACCACCAAGAGGTTCATACAGATGACTGGAACCTAGAGAAAATGGCACAAGAAAATGATGGAACATTCCAAGCTAATTTAAGCCTCAGAAAGCTATAAGCCTTTCAAGGATAAAGTTCATCATAAATCTTTCAACCAGACAAAAGCAGGTGATTCCTGACCATTTCAACAACCAATCCCCTCCCTCCCTCCCAAAAGAAAAGTGCTTGACGACAAAAAATCACTTGGACAACAAGAAAGCTTTAACCATCAAAAGGCTGTCTACCAGAGCAAACTATGTACCGTTCACACCAAAAGGATTTTTGCTAAATTGTAATCTCATGAAAGATAAACCAGTCATTAGAAATGCTAACCAACTTAAGAAAAATAAAAAACACTTTTCCATATTCTATGGGAAAAGACAATTTAATTAAATGGTCAACAAACCTTCATCTTCATGATCCATAGGATCAGCCTCATCGTCAGAAGATGACCAGCCACCAGATTGCCCTTTTGTTTTTCTACTCGAGGAAGCCACATCTTTCAAAGCAGAGTGTAATTCCTCAGCATCCATATCAGTGACACAATCATTGAAACTACGTCCTCTGGGAGACAAAGATCCTAACCAAGATCCAGATTAGTAAGGTGAGAAATGTAATCAAATTTAAAGAATAATGCTCTAACCAAAGTACAAATAAAGTGAAAACATAACTACAACAGCACCATTTTCCAAAATTCACAGACATATCCACACATAAAAATATAGGTATATGCAAGAGGAAACACATTATGCAAGTGAGATACCATCATCATCGTCAATCATGGGGTGGTACGGCGTCTTGGGTTCTGTTATTTTTTGTCTTACTGGTTTATTCGCTTCAATTTCCCCCAGATTTTCCTCATTCCATCTTACACGCCTACTGTTACCCCCAAGAACAAACTATTAGATCCAAAACACAACTAAGAATATTGTAACTACAAAAAGCTACAAGAGGCAAACTATATCAAAATAAAAATTGAAGCATATAAACTGACAAGTATTATCAAAATGGGAACATCCTTCAAAAAGAACAGAGTTTTCAACTACTTGAGTCAAGAAACTGGATTTGAATTCCAGGCATAGAGGCGAAGCTACAAGGTTGACTTCTAGATAATTATACTATAAGTTCATTTAGGGATTAAAACTTTATTTGTAACTCTAGTATAAATAATCTGTAAAATATTTATAGCCAAAAATTTATCATTATTATTATTATTATTATTATCCTTGAATTATTAAAGAGGAACTAGAGGTTTGCTATAATCCTATTTTTTTTAGTTCCATCTTTTCTATTTGTTTTTTGGACATAATCTGCTGTTTTACTATTGATTTTCTCAAAAACCAGATCATATTAAAATGAACATTCTGCAAGGTTAATATACTAAAAAAAAGCTACGTTTAGAAAAAAATAGATAAAACCTAAATGGGGAGAATACAAGCTAAGAGATGAAGTTGAATAAGTTAGATTGTTTTCTTTCTGGCCATCAGATTCAGAAATTCGGTTATCTAGAAAATTAGAAGAAAAGATTCAAATATAGTAACTAGTTCTTTTTACATGCTATAAGAATAATGACAGAAATACATTTGAATATGATAAGTTAACCACCAATCATCTCATCCCATCTCCTTCCAAAAGAGAAATAAAAGGAAACCAAATAAAAGAACAAGGAAGATATTCAGAATTACTTCATCGGGGAGAGACTGGAGTGCCACAGCAAGCTTCTAGTAGTCCTGATCCACTGAAACGTTATCATAATCACTTGGCAAAACTTTTAAGATATAAAGAATCAAGCTGTAAACTATTATCTAGACAATAAAGAATTATAGTACTGATTCATGCTATAATCACGCTTGTATAGGCATTTACTTTATATTAAGCATAAGAGTGTCAAGAAAAGAACCAAACTGGAAAGTGTTGAAGGGAAAACAATGTTTTGAGTTGATGACAATAGGAATTGAGAAGTTAGGTACTAAAAAAGACAAGAAACTACAACAACGACGCAAAAGCCTAGGTACTGAAACACCAGAGAACAACCATGTCAAACCTAATAACAGAACATGCTAGTAACGGCCATGAGAGTAAGATGGAATTATCCTGAATAAACTAATTCTCAACAGCTGCTCCATCATGACAAAAACTGGCAGCAATATCTCATGATCCTAGGGCTACATTCATAAGCAAATTTAAGTAGTTATGTTGAGTCACTAAGATTCCCGATTCCCAAACGTCAACCCAATTATGTCCAAAGATTTGAAGTTTACTGCTCTTACAATTCACAAGACGAAGATGGAATTGGTCTGAATAAACTAATTCTCAACAGCTGCTCCATCATGACAAAACCAGACAGCAATATCTCATGATCCTAGGGCTACATAAGTAGCTATGTTGAGTCACTAAGATTCCCGATTAACGTTCGCCAACCCAATTATGATCAAAGATTTGAGGTTTACCTCTCTTACAACTCACAAGAAAAAAAATCAAGGACAGAGAATTCACATACATACAAAATGGACGCTGCCTAAGCCAGTTGACAAGTTCATGAATCAAGGGCAAAAGAGAAGGAAACCAGAAGTGATTGCATGATTTACATAACTAATCAATCAGAAATCCCTAAATAAAAAGAAAAATCATAGTAATAAAGCACAAAAACATACAAGCAATTAAAGCTATAAGCAAAAGGATGATGAAGCAAAAGGCGAAAAATAATAATCAATTGAATGAAATGTAGAGCTAATTGAATCCTATAATCAATAAATATCCGGAAAAATATTTCAATCTATTTCAAATTTCAAATTTCAAATTTCAACTACACAGAGATAAGAAACCGAAAAAAGCAATTGGGGAGGGCAGTTTGTACCTTTCCGATCGCTCCTCTCGATTCTCAAAGTTGAATACAAATCCTATTTAGGTTTTCAATTTCGATGTGTTTTATTATTTTTCTTCTACCAATTCTACCCTTTCAACAATTTCTAATACCGGTTAAATCCAAACGCAGTGGGGTTATCGCCACCGTCGATTTATTTGACTTTCCCGTTGAACCCCTTTAGTCTTTGGGTTAATCAATCATTCCACGTAAGCCCCAAGGGCAATGTGGGAATCTGAAATTGGTAAGGAATTCTTTTGGTAAACTATACAAATGGTCACTAATCTTTGAGTAAGTTTATGTTTCTCCACTAAAGTTTCAAAACTAATGAATTGATCACAAATATTATCATTTATAATAAATCGGCAACTCGATGTTAATAGTTGTTCACACATAACATAATTCAGGGATCGAACTTGTAATTTGGTCATCTAAAAATCAGCTCAGTTTTCTAGGTTAAGGTATAAGGTTTGCTGTGTGTTGATGCTTGCTAGTTGTTCATTCAACAACATCGAAAGCAAAGCGAAAAAAGAAACAGACAACTCAATAATTTCTTATACTTATATTTTTTAAATCCCTATTTTCATTTCACTCTTTTTCTTCTAATTAGTGTCTTTAGGTGTTTTAATCATTGCTTTCAGGTGAGTTTTTTCCTGTCGGAGCTATGAGCAATGGATCTAGTTACATCGCATGGTCTATGTCTTCCACCGCCATTTAACATAAGAGATTTCAATTTTCACCACCACCATCATCAATGCAGCAACATGAAAATCATCAATTTCATCACCAGAACTCGAAAGAAGATGAACAAAGCAACAACCACAGTGACGTAAATAAATAGGATCGTGATGATGACAAGGATGGTGCAACCGAAGGCAAATAGCTCGACATTCATGGTGGTGAAGGTAAGATGAGTAGAATGCCACGCGACATGCCTACTGGATCCAAGAACAAGCCTAAGCCACACATCATCATCACTAGAGACAATGCTAAGCTCTACACACCCACGTGATGAAGATTGATGACATATGTGACATCGTAGATAGCATCACCACGTTCATCAGACAACGCCAGAGGGGTTTGTATTATAAGTGGGACTGCGAATGTTACTCATGTTATGCTTCGGGAACTTGCATCGGCTGGTGCAATTACGAGCTTACATGCGCATTTCGGGATATTATCATTGTCGAGTTTGTTCTTATTGTTAGCAATAGTGTCATAGGCTAATTTTATGGACATGATCATATTTTGATTATTGGATTTATTATTATCATAATTTGACATACTTTTGTATATTAATATCCTTAAATATTATTGTTAATTATTCTAAATATCCATAATCAATTATTATTGTGAGAATAATGATAAAATAAGTGATAGGAGATGACAACAGATTGATAAATGTTGCTCAAAATTAAAGAATCAAGCATATGAATCTAGACTAAATCACAGAACAAGCTAGCAATGAATTAGTATTCTTGAAGAGGTAAGTTGCTGGAAATCAAACAAGAAGATTATGATTATTTTGATGATGGTTCAAGAACAACAATTGAAGAAAAGAACAACGAATAGATAAATCGAAATAACAAGAATCGAAAAAGATGAACGAAGAACTCCCTTAGACGGTTTAAGAAGTTAATGCACAACTCTTAGGGTTCTTGATTGAGTTGCTGGAAATGTCAAACAAAGACAAGAGATTATGAACGAGACAATGAATATTAACAAAAGGATAAAGATAGGACAACTTAATTAAATGAGGGGTTTTAGCCAAAAACGTTTATGACACAAAATCAAACCAGAAAGTAACTGTTAGAAAGATAGTAAGATATAGATTATGAATATGTAAAAAGAATAATGAGAAGATAAATAAAAGATGAAATAATTTGAATTGAATACGTTGATTAATTAATTTTTAACGGGATTTTTAACGGTAAGTATTTAAAAGGATAACAGATAAAACATTAGGCGTTTATTTTTAACAATAAATTCTTTATGTACCTAAATTTAACTTAAGGTATAATTTAAGTACCTATTTTTACATCAAATCTTGTAATTTAGATATTTTTTATTTTTAATAAAACTAAGTGCTTCTATGAAAAAAAATGTATTATATTCTTTTGGATTAAGTTAAACGTTGAATGGGCCGTCTGCTCATTGGTAAAATGGGCTTATCTTATGAATAAGATTGAGAAATATTTATTTACTTTTTGCCACCTCCTTTTCTGTCTCTGAAATCATTGTGCCCGGAAACGTTATTCCCGCCGGAGAAAGAAAAAGATTACGATTTCGGAGCAGAGCAGAAGAGTGGTAGATATGGTAATGTCACCGGTGGTTAACACGTACCCATTGTCGAGCTACACATTTGGTACCAAAGAGCCCAAGATGGAGAAGGACACGTCTGTCGCGGATCGCCTTGCTCGCATGAGAGTCAAGTAATTTTATCACTTTCTCCATCTTATTCCTTGTATAATTACATGTTTTTTCTAGTATTTAAAAAAAACCCTAGATAAACCCTACTTGAGAATGCTTGCTTAAAGTTTATGCTGTTAGGGTTCCTTTGTGCTTTGTGTTATTCTGTTTGTAATTGTTCGAATTTGTCAGTCGGTGATCTAAGATTCAAAACCCTAGCTTCTTCACCTTTCTTAGAGCATACTGGGAACTAAGGGGAATGTTTAGATCAACAGCAAATTGCTGGTAGACTTATACGATTTGAACTGAGATTTGAAATGTGTTTCCTCGGATTTTACACTAAGTAAATTTTTCGATTTTATTTCAGCAAATAAAGTATTGACTTTCTTTTTTCTGTTTTTTTGGGAAAGTTTGAGCTGCTAAAGCCTAAATGTTGTTATTTTCTTTTGGTTTCTGAAACCCTAAGCAAATGCTAGAAAGCGAATTGATGCTTTCAACTAGTAATTCCCATTTGAATGATTTGTTTTAGACGGACTTTACTTAAGATTAGCTTATTGAAACTTTACTTTCTACGAGCACAAGTTTGTAATTGCTTCTTTTGATTGTTAATTGCAGTTATATGAAAGAGGGTGTGAGGACAAGCGTTGAAGCAATTTTACTGGTATGTAACTGCTCTTGTTCTTAGCTGTTACATCTTAATAACCAAGAGGGATTAGCCTTGTAAGGTTTATGCTTTGTTCTCGTTTGTGAAAATGTATGGTAATAGTTTTCACTCCCTAGTTTTTTATGACGCGGTAGATAGCTTGTATATGTGTTTACATACGACTCAATAGTCAACCTAGCAGATATTTACACCTATGTTTTAATTGTATAAAGAGGTAATTATGCATCAAGGGAAGAGGAGCTTCATCTTAATAACCAAGGGGGATTAACCTTGTAAGGTTTATGGATTGTTCTCTTTTGTGAAAACTGTATGGTAATAGTTTTCATTCCCTAGCTTTTTATGACGCATTAGATAGCTTGTATTACATACGACTCAATACTCAATAGTCATCCTAGCAGATATTTACAACTATGTCTTAATTGTATAAAGAGGTAATTATGCATCAAGGGAAGAGGAGTTACATCTTAATAATACACGAGGGCCACCTTTTAATATCGTTGTACTTTTGCTACTTTCCCCTTTGTCTATAACTTGTCAATTATCATATTTGTTGTGTGGTTTGCGAAAATTTGATTTCTAAGATGACCATTTGAATGTTTGTCCTTCAATTGCCTATTCCACCTTCTTATGCAGGTTCAAGAACATAATCATCCTCACATTCTTCTTCTGCAAATTGGGAACACGTTCTGCAAACTTCCTGGTGGACGCCTGAAGCCCGGAGAGAACGGTATCATCTTGCTTTTAACTATTCTCATTCTATGTTGTCTATCTTTTACCTTACATCTTTTCTGTTGTGCTATTTTGGAGATTCTATATCCTTTGTAATATCTTTGCTCTTATGCTTTGGCTTCAGAGATTGAGGGTTTGAAAAGGAAGCTGACTAGCAAGCTTGGAGCTAATTCACCTGCTCTTGTGCCAGACTGGCAGGTACTGATTTGTCATAATTATCTTTCCATGATGAGTAGGCATATTGTCTTAACAATTTCCCTTTATCTTTCCTATAATATAGTTTATAACATTTGATTTTTAATGCGTAATACTGTTCCTTGTTATCTTGTTGCAGATCGGTGAGTGCGTGGCCATCTGGTGGAGGCCCAACTTTGAGACTATAATGTATCCATATTGTCCTCCCCACATAACCAAACCTAAGGTAATATATAATTGTTGATCTTTTTGTTACTTCATGTGGCACTATTTATGTGCTTTGCTATCCTTATCCAACCTCTATTATTGATATTACTGTAGGAGTGCAAGAAACTTTTCCTTGTCCATCTGTCCGAGAAAGAGTACTTTGCAGTACCAAAAAATTTGAAACTTCTTGCAGTACCATTGTTTGAGCTTTACGATAATGTTCAGGTAGGCGGCAACCTTCTCTTAATCCATTCTTCAACTGATTTCAGTTTTCAATGTTCCATTGCTTTCGAGTTTGCCCATGGTTGAATCGTTATTTGTTTGTAATTTGTTTGTCTCTGCTCTTCTGGTTCTTCGTGTTAAACAGAGATATGGACCTGTGATATCAACCATTCCCCAGCAGCTTTCTAGATTCCAGTTCAACATGATTACTACATGACTTTGGCATGGATGCTTACCTCCTGTCAGTTACATCCTGAGAAAACTGCTAAGCGTAATGGTATTGAATGAGAGAATTTTGTGTTGCTTGCTTGGGTTCATATGTTGGTTAAGGTGATTGGAACGTGACACTAAGGCTAGCTCTTGTACTCTAATTTGGTTAAACTGTTTTTAGTAGCTGTTGTATTAGTTTAGGGTGTTGGTCAAAATTGGTTGCTTTCAGGTGTAGGATTTCTTTTTGCATTGGAAATTGTTTTTTTAAGTCGTATGGCATATGACACATCAATAATTAAGTAATGCTATATCAGTGAAAAACGTTAATTGTTAATTAACGAATGATTTTCATCTAATGAGATGTCATTTTGATCAAAACTAAAACGGTGAGAGCTAAGAGCTTAAAAAAAGAAGAATATGTATCAATTTGATTATTTAACTAAATGTTAAGGGTAGATATTGACATTGTCTTTCAATTCAATACAAATTCTTTCTTTTTTGCGAAAAGAATTTAACTCAATCCCAACATTTATGGGAGCTTTCTTGATTGCTAAAGAAGTCTGATCTAAAAATACAGTAAGTGCTCTATACTTTTTTTCTGAAAATTTTAATGATTTTATTTATTTATTTGAATTTTCTAAAACTTTTGTAACTATAATTTTTTTTGAAAGAATAACTATAAATAAAAGAGAAAATCGCCTCAGTGACCAAAAAAAAGTTATAATATATGATTTTAACCAACTTTTTTTGGATTTGCCAAAATGACCAACAAAATCGCAACGCGAAATAAAAATCGCAACGCGATCCCCAGAATCGCAAATCAGTTTCCAAAATCGCAACGCGATTCTTGAAAATCGCAATGCGATAGTACAAATTCGCATTGCGATTTTCCAAAATCGCAACGCGAATATGAAAATCGCAACGCGAACACATAAATCGCAACGCGTATCCGTAAATCGCAACGTGTATCCGTATATCGCAACGCGTATCCGTAAATCGCAATGCGTATCCGTATATCGCAACGCGTATCCGTAAATAGCAACGATAATCCGTAAATCGCAACGAGAATCTGTAAATCGCAACGATAATCCGTAAATCGCAACGAGAATCTGTAAATCGCAACGATAATCCGTAAATCGCAACGAGAATCTGTAAATCGCAACGATAATCCGTAAATCGCAACGAGAATCTGTAAATCACAACACTGAAATTTTAGGTATATAACACTGAAATCATAAACTAAATCCCTAAATCGCAACTCATTCCATCTCCATCTATCACTCTCTCCGGCGACATCCGTTCCTATATCCAACGACATCCTTCCCAATCCGGCAACAGGTTTTAGTTTCGCAGCTCGTCTGTTTAGTAAATTAATTTACAACCATGAAATCATCTAATGTTGATCATGTTTGGATAGATTTGTGTTTTGGAGGGTCATGGGATAATGTTCATGGTGTTTTACAATATATGCCTTTACCCATGAATCTTCAACTAAAATTGTCTTTACAAAAGTTAACTTATGAAACTCTAATGCTACGTGTTTCAAATAAATTGAATTTAGAGCCCCTAAGTGGATTTAGGCTATCTTATCAGAGAAATGGTAAAGTTTATTTGTTAACCGACAATGAAGATGTTGAACGATTCATTGCTTACATTAGTGTTTCACAAGATGATGTTACATTGTATGTTGTTGAACCTATAAGTAGTATTGTTGGGTCAGTAGCGGGTAGTAATCAACTAAGTTTTTCTCAAAACCCACAACCTTTCTCTAATCCAAATCCCAATCAACTTTCAGCACCAAATTCTGGTTTTCGTATTGACCAGTTAGACGATGATGAGCCAACAGAAAAAATTGTGAGTACTAGTCAGTATTCGAAATTTGGTCTTGGTCAATATCCGGACTTTGATATTGGTCAATACACGGATTTTGATGATGTTTCAGAAGAAGAAACAGACCCTGCGTGTAATGATTTTGATATTGGTCAATACCCGAATTTTGATGATGAAACAGCCGTTGCCGAAGAATGTATTGTTGATGATAATGAGGAGGAAGTTACGACTGTGAATGAACATGTTGAACATCCATTCTGTAATTCATATAATCCTGAAGAAGAAAAAGAAGAAGAAAAAATCCCCGAAGAAAAGAAAATGCCACGGGCGTATAACTGGAATATGCCAGAATTACTTCAGATACCGGAAGAAGAGTTGGTAAAGAAAGCAGTTGATTGTTACACAAAAGTTATTCGTATCAAGAAAGATGATTGTTTTGATACAAAGGAAGACTTGAAGATAGCTTTGTATACGAAATGTGTGGAAGATGGCTATCAACTAAAAGTTAACAAATCAAGCAAAGATCGTTTCGAAACAAGGTGTATGATTGACAAAAACTGTATGTGGCGAATGATTGCAAAGAGAATAAAAGATTGCGAAATGTTTCAAGTTAGGACTTTTATTGATAAACATACATGTTCAAGAACCCAAGTTTTTCCTCACCATAGACAGGCAAACAAAAAGGTGTTGGGTGGTTTTCTGGCTGAGTTAATGTTTTTGAATGGCAGGGTATATCGGGGACATGAAATTATGACTGACATGAATGCTCGGTTCAAGATTAGTATATCATATTCTCAAGCTTGGAGAGCCAAATGTTATGCCTTGGAATTGTTGAGGGGGTCGCCAGAAGCATCGTTTGCCCAACTGCCGGCTTATTGTCACAATTTAAAGCTGAAAAATCCTGGGTCGGTAACTCATATCAAAACAGATAGAGATGGACGCTTTGAGTTGCTGTTTATCGCCATTGGTGCTACGGTTAGTAAATCAATATAATTTTGTTGACTCATTTTTGTTAGTTACATGCATTTCACATTTAAATGATTATATTTCTTGTGTATATTATTTTGTAGATTCGTTCGTTTATTACTTGCATGCGCCCAGTTATTATAGTTGACGGAGCACATTTGAAAGGTCGATACCTTGGAGTAAACTTATTAGCAGTAGCCATGGATGCTAACAATGGGATATTGCCAATAGCTTACGGGGTTGGCAAATCTGAAACCTCTGATTCATGGACATGGTTTATGGGGCATCTTAGGGATTGCATAGGTCCTATTAGCAATCTGACAATCATATCCGATAGGGCAAACTCAATTGACAACGCTGTTAGAAGGTGTTTCCCAGATGCTTTTCATGGACTTTGTGGTGTTCATTTGTATAGAAATCTAAAATCAAGGTCTGCTGGTATAAAAAAGCACAAATGGACATACTGGAAGACTGTAAAAGCTTATCGGGAAGTGGATTTCAATAAGCATATAAATTGTTTAAGACGTGTTTTGCCTCAGTGTGCTCAAACACTAGAAGATGTCGGGTTTGAAAGATGGTCAAGAGTACATCAACTTGGAGCAAGATATGGTTTCATGACGTCTAATAGTGCAGAATCAATCAACGCTCTAAGTCGTCATTCCCGGAAATTACCCATTACTATGTTAATGGAGTTTTTTCGAGCCTCTATTCAACAGTGGTACTACAAGAAAAGAAACCATGCAGGTATTATTTCTTTGAATTCGTAACTTATCATATTATATATTTTACTAAGTATTGTTTATTTAAATTTACAGGAACATTGGAACATCGTGTTACACCATGGACTAAAAAAAGATAACGAAACGTGTTGTGAAGTCAACGTCATGGAGAGTTGAACCATGTTCAAACACTTTGTTTCAAGTACTGGATAATAACTTAAATGGGCTAGTCGATCTAAATGCAAAGACGTGTAGTTGTATGAAATGGCAAACATCTGGTTATCCGTGTGGCCATGTTATAAAAGTTGCTCTTCATTTAAACCAAGATGATTCAAGCGCATACGCTATGGATTGCTACACTACAGAAGTTTATCGACAGACTTATGCCGAGATTGTCTACCCTATTCCACATCCTTCTGAGTGGGACATACCAGATGACTTACAAACAGTTTTGCCACCAGCCATGGACAGAAGGCTACCTGGCCGACCAAAAAGTCACGATCGTATACCGTCTAAGGGTGAAGAGAAGAAGAGATCGACATGTAGTCGGTGCAAGGAAAGTGGTCATACAAGGTTGACATGTGGATCACCAGTGCCATCAAAATCATCTTTTCCTCTACCAAAATATGGATCCTCATCAAAATCACAATTGGCTTCACCTTTTGGGACTGTTAACTTAGGTGATTTTTAAATGCAAACGTTGTATTATGTGGATTTTATGTGTGAACTTTTAACATTTTCAGTTGAATTAATGACTCAGGCCAACCATTTTGACTTAACCAACTCTTGTTATTCAGTTGTTATCACTATTAGGCATGCATTTGACTATCGCAACACGGAAATTACAATCGCAACGAGAGAATCGCAATGCGAAATGAAAATCCCAACATGAAAATCGCAATGCGGAAATGAAAATCGCAATGCGAAATGAAAATCGCAATGCGAAATGAAAATCGCAACGAGAGAATCGCAATGCGAAATGAAAATCGCAACGAGAGAATCGCAATGCGAAATTAAAATCGCATTGCGATTCTCCCGTTGCGATTTTCATTTCCGCATTGCGATTTTCATTTCGCATTGCGATTCTCTCGTTGCGATTTTCATTTCGCATTGCGATTTTCATTTCGCATTGCGATAGTCAATTTTGCCTTCAACATAATGCAGATTGAAACCAACAAAATCAACCATTACATTTCAATCAATTAAACAAGCACAAATAAGAATTATATTCGCATCAATTACACAAATCAACTTTTACAAATCATCTTTTACAAATCAATTAAACAATCAAAAATAAGCAATAATTCTTATTTCCGATCATCTACTATTGAATCAACTTTTACAAATCAATTAAACAATCAAAAAACAATCAATTAAACTATTGAATCAACTTTTGCAGCCATACATCATTTTCACGCAGTTCACTTCTGAGATTAACCTGCAGAAACCAAACATTTGCTCAAACAACACTTTCTACACATCTAAAACCTACAAACATCAAATTATTGAATTCTAGG